CCCAACACCATCCCCATTAAGGTGCAGTCTGTCTCTACTATAGTGCCAGTAACCGACTAAGAAGTCAGCCCAGTTCTCCAGGAACCCCAAACCCTCCTTCCTACTTAGAACCCCCAAACATTTTATATTTTTTAAAGCAGAAGCACTAGAGAATAAATTGGCAGCTTTTGAGATTTTTTTTATGTCACAGAGTATTTGCGCAGTGGTTTTTAAAACACAATTTTATGGGATAAAATACACTTTTTTTTATTTTATTGCAAAAAAAAACAAAATACATAACCCATTTTTTTTTGTAAAATATAAAAGATGATGTTACATTAAGTAAATGGATACCAAACATGTCACACTTTAAAATTGCGCATGCCTGTGCAATGGTGACAAACAATGTAAATTTTACTATCCATAGGCAATGCTTTAAAAGCTTTTATAGGTTATATCACCTTGTTTTTTTTATTTTTTTTTATTATATATTTTATTTTTTTACAACACTTAAAACAACACTCTTTCATATTTATCAAAAGAAAATACAAACCATTCCCCTGTAATCTCCCACCCTGATCTCCCTCCCCCCCTCCCAAATCCCAACCCTCCTAGCAATTTTCCCCAGTCCATATATTTCTGTTCAAGTATTTCCATTATTCCCTTGTCCAAATCTATATCTCTTTTCTTCAATCCTCTGCTCCTATAATCTTCATCTCACCACTCTTTTTTCCTTTCTTCTTTTCTACTGTCTTTTTCACTTTCCTCTATCTTCACTACACTTCTTGATCGTTCGGTTCAATTCACCTACGTCAGGCCATCCGGAGCTCCAACCACTTGCAGATATTTTTTAGATGTCTTAAAGTCATACCATCTAGCTCATTCCTTTCTAAACTTTTCAATTTGGTCTTCATCTATATGGTATAGCTCTTCCATCACATTTGGGAATAAGTCCCTTGACCGCGTTATTTAGATGGTACAATACGCTGTTTTTATATTGTTTCACTGATATCACTGATCTATAAAATAAACACACACCCCCCACGGATCTTTATGCAAAGTGAGCCCCAGTATCTCTTGTATAACTTGGATTATATCATGCCAAAAGATTTGTATTTTAGGACAGTCCCACCATATGGGTACCATAGTTCCTTTAAATCCACAACCCCTCCAACATAATGGTGATACCTCACCTCGCTGTCTATGTGCCATACTCTGTGTGAAATACCATCTGGTTAAACATTTATAGTTCATTTCAACTGTGCTCCCATCAATTCAATAAGGATCTTATATATCCTAGAGGTAACATGCTTTGGAACTCTACTTGAGCTCAGCAGTTTCTCAAATGGGAGCATATCCTCCAGCATCCTCAGTGGCTGAGGAAGCTTTGAAACAAAATGTCTTAATTGATAACATCTCATCTATTACAACAAATAAATCTTTTTTTCTTTTTAAGTCTTGGAACGTGTACAACTCCCCCTTATCTATTATATCCCTCAATCGTTCATCCCTATTTTTAAACCACTTTCCCAAAATATTGTCATTCCCTGGTGGGAAAAACTCTGTACCCACTAAGGGAATCAACAATGATTTATACTGCCAATCAACAACTTGTGACAACATCACCACAGTGTAATAATTCCTAATACTTGGCAGATTTAATAACCTTTTCTCTTTGTTATTACACAAATCTTCATATTTAATTCTCAGTTTCTTATTAGCCCATATATATTTAAGTATCAACCTTTTTATTATCCCAAAAAAGGAACCTGGTATATAAACTGGGAGCATATGGAATTTATACAAAATGTTTGAGACTATCATCGTCTTGACCAGATTTATACGCCCGAGACCCTGACCCATGAGATTCTTCTCAACTCTTCCTTTATTTCATTTATTAATGGAATATAATTTACCTGGTATATGTTTTTTATTGAGGGGGTTAACTTTATTCCCAGATAACCTAGTTCCTTCTCCCTCCATGTAAATGAAAAGTCTTTTTATAGGATCTGCTTCTCTTTCTTCGATTTCTGATTTTGTGGGATTTATTTTCAAGTTTGAGAGCTCTCCATACTGTTTTACTAAACCCATGAAATTAGGTAGCATTAATCTGGGGTTCACAATATAGAACAGCATATCATCTGCATATCTTGTGCTCCACCTCTCCTATCTTAATTCCTCTGACATCTACACTCTCTTACTGTCACCAGCAAAGGTTCCAGGGATATGACAAATAACAGGGATAATGGACATCCCTGTCTAGTACCATTATACATTTTAAAAAACCCTGAAAAGGATCCATTTACCTTAACCACTGCTGAGGGGTCATTATAGAGTTCCTTCATCCACGTTAACATCCTAGTCCCTATTCCTAAAGCCTCTAGCGTATTTATCATAAATCCCCAGTCAACCCTATCAAAAGCTTTTTCAGTGTCGATTGACAGAATAATTGTCGACGACTTTTCTCTCCTTGCTTTTTGTAAGAGAAGCAGTGTTCTTAGGTCATTATGTCTTCCTTCTCTGCAAATCCCACTTGATCTAAGTGTATCCATTCCGGCATCAACTCTTTTAATCTGGTAGACAGTACTTTCACAAAGAGTTTTGTATGTACATTTAACAGTGATATGGGTTTATAACTGGCGCATTGTGTACAATCCTTCCCCTCCTTAAGAATGATACGCTTGCAGCGATTCTTCTCTTATTCCCATTCCCTCTCCTAGGGCATTCATATATGTGCAGAGTTGAGGTATCAAAAGTTCTTTGCATACCCTACCGTATACTCATCTGGTCCTGGGCTCTGTCCTCCCGCTGTATTCTTCATGGCCACACGTATTTTGTCTTGGGAGATCATTCGCTCTAGGGATCCTAACTTTTTTTCTGCTATTTTAGGCAAATCTGCTGCCGCTAGATATTCCCAACTTTTCCCTTTCTTTTCTTCTTCTGTTACCTTCTGGTTCCTGGGGTTCACATTCTACAGCCTACTATATTATTTCTGGAATGTTTTGGCAATATCAGTGGTGGAATATACCAGTTCTCCTTTTTCGTCTTTCATTTTTTCAATATAATTCATCGATTTTTTTTGCTTCAGTCTTTTCATCAGGTATTTTCCTGGTTTATTCCCCCACTGGTATCTCTCCTTTGAGACCCTATTACAAATCTTCCTCGTCTCTTGTTCCAACAGGTCCTTTAACTCTTCTCTTTTAAGGGTGATCTTCTGATGTATCTCTATGATGTCCTGCCTCTTTTTATGTACCTGTTCTAATTCATATAGCTCCTCCGCCTTCATTTTTCTCTCACGATCCTTCTTTTTTTTGGTCCATGCTGCTATCAAAATTCCCCTGATGTATGCCCTTTGTGCTTCCCAGATAGTAGCCACCGAGACTCCTTCAGTTTCATTCAGAAGGAAAAATTCCTCTATTTCATCCCTTAACCTTTTCTCTATTTCAGGGTCCTGTATAAGCATCTCATTTAATCTCCACACAGCCCTCTTATTCCAGTCCCCTCCAACCTGTAATCTCGCTGCAAGAGGAGCATGATCCGAGATAGACATAACTGCTATATTAGCTTTAACCAAGAAATCCATTTGTCTATGCTCGATCATTATATAATCTAATCGTAAATACGATCTATGCGCCGGAGAGAAGAAGGTATAATCTCTTTCTCTGGGGTGTTTCACCCTCAATGTGTCTGTTAATTGGCTTTGATGTAACATCTTTTTCAGCAATCCTAATTTTTTTACAGCCCTCTTCTCGGCGCATTCGAAGACGTATCCATCGATGGACCCACACATAGATTGAAGCCAGGATCAGACTGCCCCTCTTCAATTCCATAATTTTCCTCAACACTTCCTGCAAAAATACTTCTGGATTTTGATTTGGACAGTAAAGTTAACCAATGTATAGTTTTGTCCCTGCATTTTCCCTGCGGACGGGGATCGGAGTTTACTGCCACCTCCCTCCCCTGCAGCTCTCTGTCACCTCCCCCGTCTATCTATTTTCTCTTTTTATTGGTTGGCTGCCACTTCTCTTTTCTCAGCCTTACGCTTTCAATTGACCCCTCTGACCATCCTTCAATGTCCATATTTTGCAATTCTAGTTTTCCACAGAAGTCACTTGCACGAAAGTTGTAAGGAACTTGTACAGTCCTAGGTAGCCTTAAAAACATATACGTTCTCTATATCACTACTTGGCCTCTGTTCTCCTCCTGTTCCTTCTTCTTCTAATCACCCCCAGCCCCACAACTCAGATATACATTTACAAAGAACAGAGACAGTGGAAGTTTAGATCTCCAGCCGTTGCCCATGGCAACTAGCCATCACCCTCTGAGATTCCGGGTCTGTCTCCGTATGCTTCCTCTGTCCCACTCTGAGTCTCATGAACCCGATTCGTATCCTGAGGGGGGTCTGGGCGGTTACTCAGGATGTCATCTTATCAAATGTCCCTGGGTCTTCTGGTCTCCAGGGAATCAGCTTTCCCAGGCCACTGGGGAGTCTCGCCACTTAGTTTGCACAGCCCCGTGTGTGTGTGCGGCTCCTCCCGGGGTCCTTCCATGTTCAATCCCTCAGGCATTCTGCCCTCCAGCTCTTTTCACACTCCTCTTCCCTCCAGAGAGTGCTTCTGTTAGCGATCCCTGGAAATTCCGGGATCACAGCCCCCACACCACCGCAGCACCGCCCTGCTCACTGGGCTCACCACCACTGCTGGGTGCCGTGTGGTCCTCCAGCACCGCCGACAACCTCCACTCAGCTAGAGCTGCCTGCCTGGACAGGTAGGCTCACAGGGGTACCCTCCAGGGAAGTCCAGCGCACACCATTTCAACGCGGCGGACGTCAGGAGCTCCTATGCTTAGCAGCCTCTCGGTGCCATGTTCAGGACCCTTCCCCCCCTAGAGGTTATCACTAGAGATGAGCGAATTATTCAAAAATTTGATTCGAGGAATTCGTGGAAAAAATTTGATTCGAGTCGAATATATTCGCTGCGAATTTAACTTATAAAAGGGTGTTTCTAGGCTTCAGAGAGCCTTTATATTAGTGCAGAACACTGTACCTTTAATTTAAATGCCCTTGGAGTCTGCTGGAGAAGACAAATAATACTGTCAGTCAGTATGACATGCAGATGAGTGCCGTCGATCTTAGAATCACCGCACACTTCACTCATTTGGGCAGTCACGGGGCCAAAACCAGAGTGTGGAGCCACAGTGTGGCGGTGGAGGCAGCAGCAATGGGAGGCCATACAGCACCCTATGACAAAATGGAACCCACCAGCAGTGTGAGGAGACCTGAAAGTGGCACATGGCAGAGTGTGGCGATGGAGACAGCAGCAATGGGAGGCCGTACAGGGACCCATGACACACTCTGGACCTGGCAGCAGCATGAGGAGGCGGTACAGGGGCCCATGACAGATTACGGGCCTGGCAGCAGCATGAGGAGTCGGTACGGGGGCCCATGGCAGATTACGGGCCTGGCAGCAGCAATGGCAGGCCGTACAGGGACCCATGACACACTCTGGACCTGGCAGCAGCATGAGGAGGCGGTACAGGGGCCCATGACAGATTACGGGCCTGGCAGCAGCATGAGGAGTCGGTACGGGGACCCATGACACACTCTGGACCTGGCAGCAGCATGAGGAGGCGGTACAGGGGCGCATGACAGATTACGGGCCTGGCAGCAGCATGAGGAGTCGGTACGAGGGCCCATGACACACTCTGGACCAGGCAGCAGCATGAGGAGGCGGTACAGGGGCCCATGACAGATTACGGGCCTGGCAGCAGCATGAGGAGTCGGTACGGGGGCCCATGGCAGATTACGGGCCTGGCAGCAGCAATGGGAGGCCGTACAGGGACCCATGACACACTCTGGACCTGGCAGCAGCATGAGGAGGCGGTACAGGGGCCCATGACAGATTACGGGCCTGGCAGCAGCATGAGGAGTCGGTACGGGGGCCCATGACACACTCTGGACCTGGCAGCAGCATGAGGAGGCGGTACAGGGGCGCATGACAGATTACGGGCCTGGCAGCAGCATGAGGAGTCGGTACGGGGGCCCATGGCAGATTACAGGCCTGGCAGCAGCAATGGGAGGCCGTACAGCACCCTATGACAAAATGGAACCCACCAGCAGTGTGAGGAGACCTGAAAGTGGCACATGGCAGAGTGTGGCGATGGAGACAGCAGCAATGGGAGGCCGTACAGGGACCCATGACACACTGTGGACCTGGCAGCAGCATGAGGAGGCGGTACAGGGGCCCATGACAGATTACGGGCCTGGCAGCAGCATGAGGAGGCGGTACGGGGGCCCATGGCAGATTACGGGCCTGGCAGCAGCAATGGGGAGCCGTACAGGGACCCATGACACACTCTGGACCTGGCAGCAGCATGAGGAGGCGGTACAGGGGCCCATGACAGATTACGGGCCTGGCAGCAGCATGAGGAGTCGGTACGGGGGCCCATGACACACTCTGGACCTGGCAGCAGCATGAGGAGGCGGTACAGGGGCGCATGACAGATTACGGGCCTGGCAGCAGCATGAGGAGTCGGTACGGGGGCCCATGGCAGATTACAGGCCTGGCAGCAGCAATGGGAGGCCGTACAGCACCCTATGACAAAATGGGAACCCACCAGCAGTGTGAGGAGACCTGAAAGTGGCACATGGCAGAGTGTGGCGATGGAGACAGCAGCAATGGGAGGCCGTACAGGGACCCATGACACACTGTGGACCTGGCAGCAGCATGAGGAGGCGGTACAGGGGCCCATGACAGATTACGGGCCTGGCAGCAGCATGAGGAGGCGGTACGGGGGCCCATGGCAGATTACGGGCCTGGCAGCAGCAATGGGAGGCCCGTAATCTGCCAGCACCCTATGACAAAATGGAACCCTGGGCTGGGGCAGGCAGAACCGCCTTATCTTTATCACGGTTTTCCCAGGCCACCGAATGGCGACGCTGCATATGCTGACGCAACGCTGTAGTCCCAACATGGGCCCCCTGGCCACGCTTGACTTTCTGGCCACATAGTCGACATACGGCTACGTTTACTTCCTCGGGCGGCTTGAGGAAAAATTGCCACACCGCCGAGTAGGAAACTTTGCCCCCGCTACTCCTCACTGGCTGACTGCTACTTCCTCCGTGCACACCGGCACCACTACTGGCCGTGGTGGTAGGCTGCAGTGGAGCTGGTGCTCTACTCCGTGGCCGTTTGCCTCCACTGACACTGCTGTGACCCTGCTGCCTCCTGGCAGCAGCAATGGGAGGCCGTACAGGGACCCATGACACACTCTGGACCTGGCAGCAGCATGAGGAGGCGGTACAGGGGCCCATGGCAGATTAGGGGCCTGGCAGCAGCAATGGGAGGCCCGTAATCTGCCAGCAACCTATGACAAAATGGAACCCAGCAGCAGCGTGAGGAGACCTGAAAGTGGCACATGGCAGAGTGTGGCGATGGAGACAGCAGCAATGGGAGGCCGTACAGGGACCCATGAGACACTGTGGACCTGGCAGCAGCATCAGGAGGCGGTACAGGGGCCCATGGCAGATTAGGGGCCTGGCAGCAGCAATGGGAGGCCCGTAATCTGCCAGCACTCTATGACAAAATGGAACCCAGCAGCAGTGTGAGGAGACCTGAAAGTGGCACATGGCAGAGTGTGGCGATGGAGACAGCAGCAATGGGAGGCCGTACAGGGACCCATGACACACTGTGGACCTGGCAGCAGCATGAGGAGGCGGTACAGGGGCCCATGGCAGATTAGGGGCCTGGCAGCAGCAATGGGAGGCCCGTAATCTGCCAGCAACCTATGACAAAATGGAACCCAGCAGCAGTGTGAGGAGACCTGAAAGTGGCACATGGCAGAGTGTGGCGATGGAGACAGCAGCAATGGGAGGCCGTACAGGGACCCATGAGACACTGTGGACCTGGCAGCAGCATGAGGAGAGGAGGCGGTACAGGGGCCCATGGCAGATTAGAGGCCTGGCAGCAGCAATGGGAGGCCCGTAATCTGCCAGCAACCTATGACAAAATGGAACCCAGCAGCAGTGAGAGGAGACCTGAAAGTGGCACATGGCAGAGTGTGGCGATGGAGACAGCAGCAATGGGAGGCCGTACAGGGACCCATGAGACACTGTGGACCTGGCAGCAGCATGAGGAGGCGGTACAGGGGCCCATGGCAGATTAGGGGCCTGGCAGCAGCAATGGGAGGCCCGTAATCTGCCAGCAACCTATGACAAAATGGAACCCAGCAGCAGTGTGAGGAGACCTGAAAGTGGCACATGGCAGAGTGTGGCGATGGAGACAGCAGCAATGGGAGGCCGTACAGGGACCCATGAGACACTGTGGACCTGGCAGCAGCATGAGGAGGCGGTACAGGGGCCCATGGCAGATTAGGGGCCTGGCAGCAGCAACGGGAGGCCCGTAATCTGCCAGCACCCTATGACAAAATGGAACCCAGCAGCAGTGTGAGGAGACCTGAAAGTGGCACATGGCAGAGTGTGGCGATGGAGACAGCAGCAATGGGAGGCCGTACAGGGACCCATGAGACACTGTGGACCTGGCAGCAGCATCAGGAGGCGGTACAGGGGCCCATGGCAGATTAGGGGCCTGGCAGCAGCAATGGGAGGCCCGTAATCTGCCACCAACCTATGACAAAATGGAACCCAGCAGCAGTGTGAGGAGACCTGAAAGTGGCACATGGCAGAGTGTGGCGATGGAGACAGCAGCAATGGGAGGCCGTACAGGGACCCATGACACACTGTGGACCTGGCAGCAGCATGAGGAGGCGGTACAGGGGCCCATGGCAGATTAGGGGGCCTGACAGCAGCAATGGGAGGCCCGTAATCTGCCAGCACTCTATGACAAAATGGAACCCAGCAGCAGTGTGAGGAGACCTGAAAGTGGCACATGGCAGAGTGTGGCGATGGAGACAGCAGCAATGGGAGGCGGTACAGGGGACCCATGAGACACTGTGGACCTGGCAGCAGCATGAGGAGGACGGTACAGGGGCCCATGGCAGATTAGGGGCCTGGCAGCAGCAATGGGAGGCCCGTAATCTGCCAGCACTCTATGACAAAATGGAACCCAGCAGCAGTGTGAGGAGACCTGAAAGTGGCACATGGCAGAGTGTGGCGATGGAGACAGCAGCAATGGGAGGCCGTACAGGGACCCATGAGACACTGTGGACCTGGCAGCAGCATGAGGAGGCGGTACAGGGGCCCATGGCAGATTAGGGGCCTGGCAGCAGCAATGGGAGGCCCGTAATCTGCCAGCACCTATGACAAAATGGAACCCAGCAGCAGTGTGAGGAGACCTGAAAGTGGCACATGGCAGAGTGTGGCGATGGAGACAGCAGCAATGGGAGGCCGTACAGGGACCCATGAGACACTGCGGACCTGGCAGCAGCATGAGGAGGCGGTACAGGGGCCCATGGCAGATTAGGGCCTGGCAGCAGCAATGGGAGATGCCCGTAATCTGCCAGCACTCTATGACAAAATGGAACCCAGCAGCAGTGTGAGGAGACCTGAAAGTGGCACATGGCAGAGTGTGGCGATGGAGACAGCAGCAATGGGAGGTGGTACAGGGACCCATGAGACACTGTGGACCTGGCAGCAGCATGAGGAGGCGGTACAGGGGCCCATGGCAGATTAGGGGCCTGGCAGCAGCAATGGGAGGCCCCGTAATCTGCCAGCACTCTATGACAAAATGGAACCCAGCAGCAGTGTGAGGAGACCTGAAAGTGGCACATGGCAGAGTGTGTGGCGATGGAGACAGCAGCAATGGGAGGCCGTACAGGGACCCATGACACACTGTGGACCTGGCAGCAGCACGAGGAGGCAGTACAGGGGCCCATGGCAGTTTAGGGGCCTGGCAGCAGCAATGGGAGGCCCGTAATCTGCCAGCACTCTATGACAAAATGGAACCCAGCAGCAGTGTGAGGAGACCTGAAAGTGGCACATGGCAGAGTGTGGCGATGGAGACAGCAGCAATGGGAGGTGGTACAGGGACCCATGAGACACTCCCATGGCAGATTAGGGGCCTGGCAGCAGCTATGGGAGGCCGTAATCTGCCAGCACCCTATGACAAAAAAATGGAACACAGCAGCAGTGTGAGGAGACCTGAAAGTGGCACATGGCAGAGTGTGGCGATGGAGACAGCAAGCAATGGGAGGCCGTACACGGGGACCCCAATGAGACACTGTCGGACCTGGCAGCAGCATGAGGAGGCGGTAAAGGGGCCCATGCAGATTAGGGGCTATGGCAGCTGCTAATGGCTCGATAGGCCTAGTAATCTGCCAGCCACCTTTTTGACAAAAAAT